CTCTCATACCCAGAAAATGCTGTCTCATAGTGAAGGCAGACACAGTGATGCAGCAGAAAACCACTGAACAACTGAGCATGTGTGTGTCTGCACATGTTAAGAAGCTGATCTAATAACTGTTCATGAGCTGTACAGCTGATTGGGAGGGAATAAAAGAGTTGAAGCAGAAGGACAGAGAGGGAGAGACCGGAGCTGTTCATTTAAACCCAGAGAGAACCAGCATGACTCATGAATACAGCCTCTCTGCAGAAAACATTGTGTCAGCTGTTTGAGCAGAGCTGCTGCAGAAACCATTGAATACACCTAAAGGAGAGAGGCCACTAACAGCAACACACTGGCCATTTTTAACCATCGACAGGACCTTACTCCACCCTGAAGTGCACAAAGACACATTATACATTATACAGCCGCTGAGTGAGAACACAGCGACCCCAGTTACTCAGACTGCTGGATGATTCACCCGCTAATGGAGAAATAGTAGAGAGTTAATGCAATATAAATGCATTAAATGTCATACGAGTACTGTTTTTTATGTACGTAAGTGATGCTAAAGGAGGCCCGTATAGTAATGACCAATCACCATCTTTGCAGTTTTCATGAGCTATGAGGAGCTTTTTGGCATTTTAAGTTCAAGTTTTGGTTTTACATCACATGACTTTTCTATTTTGAATCAACCAACCCCGACAAATACTCATGATAAAGCTGGGATACCAACCAAGTATCAAACAGCTGGTAGACAATGTTTTGATGTTTTGAAAGTTGTTGATGCAGAAAGTTGAGCATAAAGACTAGGGCTGGGAATCTTGAGTTGTCTCACGATTCGATTTCAATTCTTGTGGTCACGATTTGATTGAGAATCTATTCTCGCTTTAAAACAATTCTGGATTCATGATTCGGTCTATTTTTGAATTAATACATACTTAAGGATTTACTCCAGTCATCTGTGAGACTGGCTGAATTTCTTGCTGCTCTAGTTGCCATTCTACTGAGTTAAAGAGCTAGCTTTAGCAATTAGCAGGGAGTGACTGATTACCCAATTTTTGAAAGTTATAAATCCATTTAAAAACTCAGAAGATAAGAACCTTGATTTTTACTTTCCCCACCTCTAAAAAAGACGCGGGACAAACATGACTCAAGCAAAAGTAAAAGTTTCTGTTTGTCCACCTGATGATAAAAAGCAACTTTTTGACATCAACATAAGCCACAATTGTGAATGACTTAATAAAAATCAATCAATGAAACAAACATTTTTCATGTCCATTCATTCCCTCTGCTGACATTTTAAAGGTTATCTCTTTATTATTATCCCTGTATGAAGTCTTTCATGTGACATTCAGTTCAATAAGAAACTATAAAATGCTTCACTAATCCAAAGAACCAAAAGCTGAAGAGTGAACGAAAACACCTTTGATCCAGGTTTTATATCCAGTGCTTCTAAAGGATAAGGTTAGCAATATGTCATGTTTTTCTTATTGTAAACGAATCCCATTTAAAGACCAAAACCAACCATGACAGTATCCATGCAGCGTGTATTCTGTGTTTTCAAAGCCTGATGTATAAATAGCTCCATTGTTGTGCACAAACCCATCAGTCAGCTTCCAGACCATCACATTTATTAAACTGCAGCTCAAAATAATCTCCCATTAATGCTCTATTTCCTACAATTTCAGTAACATTTATTAACAGTGGTGGTTTTAGAGTCTGTTGGGGCCTGAGGCAAAAATGAACAGGTGGCCCGTCCAACCAGCGTTCATCATCATCATGTTACTACAAATCAGACACCAACAACAACAACAAAAAATTAGAATATTGCGAAATGTTAATGTTAATTTATGTCCAAAGTTCATATACCTTAAATATCACTGAAATGAGAACGGTGATTGCATATACAAGCGGTCGAAAGGAGTTTCCTCCGGAGGGTGTAGGGTGAGGAGCTCAAACATTCGGGGGTAGCTCGAAGTAGAGCTGCTACTCCTTCGCATCAAAAGGAGCCAGTTGAGGTGGTTTGGGCGTCTGATTAGGATGTCTACTACACGCTCCCTTTGGAAGTTTTCCAGGGCAGCCCAACTGGGAGGAGACCCCAAGGTAGACCCAGAGTTCGCTGGAGTTCGTCCAGCCTGGGAACGGCTCAGAATCCCCCGAGAGGAGCTGGAAAACGTTGCTGGGAAGAGGGAAGTCTGGGTCAAATAATAAACTTATGAAGCCCCTGATGGCTACGGCAAGAAGTGTTTGCAAATCAATACCCACAGTTTATACTATTTTTGCAAACCTTGGGCATGGTTTCATAAACCGTGCAATCTATGACCTCGCATAGACAGGGGGTACTGATTTGCAAGCAGCTTTCTATTTCCTCCTTACGGATCCTTTGGGGGCTCCGTAATGACTAAAAAATTGTGACTTAAAGATCTAAGTCTTGTTTAGGAGCCAGAGAACTTTGGGTGGAGCGCAGTAAGCACGTTGGAGAGTCAGAGACTGAAAAAGAAAGACTTATATATAGTGTTGGTTTTTGGTCTTAATGTGGGACAAGATTTTGACAAAATATCAATAGTTGAGGGTCACCTAGAGATACTTTTGCGGTATCTAGCATATAGAAATGATACATTTTAAACTATTCTTAATTATAGTATGTGCGCAGGTAATTGAAAACCTCTGACAGAAACAATAAAATACCATAAAAATGTAATTGGGAACGGAGTATGGTCGTAGACGGACACACAGATGGTTTGTTTACTGGCAGGTCCAGAATGGTGACGGGCGTCGCTGTGACTGCTGACAACACGCCAGCCATTACATCACACACTCAGGATACACCGTCCTTGGCTCGCACCGAGACACTGAGACACGGCATGAAGTGGTGAGTGTGTGTGTGTGCATGACTGCATGCATGTGTGTATATTGCCTCAATGTTGAGAATAAATACCTGTGAGTGTGTATGCTAAGTAACATACATTTGATATACTTTTTCTGCTGGTTCCCAAACTTATCACAAGACTGAATATTGAAGTAACATGCAACAAACAAACTCTGATGCTTGAAACATGTCGCTGTGCTAGAGCTCAATGTACAGAATGTGTGTGTTAGCACATGGCCTGTGTGTGTGTGTCTTCCCCACCAGACTTCACAAGCTTCGTCACATTGTGGTAGCAGCGTACACGCCTCTCTACTGCTCTATACAAGACACCGTTATGGCCCCACATTTAGAAACAGCACACACTCACACTGCCATCAACTTCACACTGGATCTGCTTTAACGAGGCTGTACAGGACCAGACTCTGGAGAGGAGAGGAAATACTTGTGGTGTTTTTATGAGGACGAACACTGAGGCTACTTTTTACAAGCAGCAGCGCACAGCTAAATAGTGGAAACTTACTGGATACATGTAGTCAACTAATTGAGCCTGGCTTCTAGCTAGCAGCTACACGAGCTGTCTTTCTCCCAAAGTCAACAATCAAACTCATCAGTAGAGAGGCCAAATTATCTGCGGAGGACTACGTCTCTAATGGACGTGGTGATATAAATAAATAGAAACATTGAATAAAGCAGTTTCAAGTTAAATATCTATGTTTTTCCAATGGGATTTGGTGAGGATTTGGGGTCTGCGAGCTGAGCTATCAATCCCTCTCCTGTGCTGATAATATTTGGGTGTTGTTCATTATGGAAAAACGTTTGAATGCAGGAGAGTTTTTTTTTTTTGCCTTTCTAGTGATTATTGCAGCCTAAAATACCTGATTGTGGAACAGCATTTTAAAATAAACTGCTGTGAGAGTTGCAGCTTTTCAGAGGCCTTATTTTTTCACTGGCGAGGGGTTGGTTAAATTTGCCGTGCAATTTAGATTCTGCTCCTGAATGCTCTGGATTTGTTTGGACCAAAGAAGGTTGTCTGTTTTAAGGCACCCCCACACGGCCGTTTTGGACGCCCCTCGGTTTGCCAGATATGAGAGCAGTTATCAGGTCAACAGGTGTTGCAGTGATGGAAGCGGGCAAGAGAAGCGGTTCAGATAGAAGTGATTGTACCCGACCTAAAAAGCCTCTGCATGTTTCTAATAAGCTCCATGAGCAGAAACGTGCTCAAACTAGGATCAATATTGGAGATGCTTTTGAAAAATGGAGAGAGGTTAGAACACAGAAAGGTTTACAGACCCATGCAGAGCTGGATAAACACTGAAGCTTCAGTGTTCACATGGTGACCTGTGTGAGCATGGACTCTAGAGAGGAGGGGGCGGGGGGAGACAGCTCTCTACAATGTTTAGAATTTAGACTGCAGTACCCATTTTAAACACTAGTTGTCAGAGTTACATACTGCTCCTTTAAGGTCTGTGCGGAGTATAAAGGGGACGTTTGGGGAATCCCTAAATCCCTACAAAATAAGTAAACACACATTAAAAGACGCTAAATCCCTAAAAAGGGTCACCACAGCCCTATTATGCAACACCAAACACGCACTGTAAATCACTGTAGTAATATCAACGGGCATTTCTTCTCAGCAACTGCTCCTCACAGCCCCTCTGTAAGCCGCCCAAATGGCTGAGCTCCCAATGTGAGACAGGCAGGCAGGGGACCAACACAACACTGCTGTTGCCAGGGATGGAGCAGAGCAGGCAGGCAGGCAGGCAGGCAGGCAGCACATCAACCTGCCAGCGTTCAGCCTTCAACCACACACGCTTGTTATTGTCATTCATCGTATTCAAAGAGAACGTGCTACACACTTCTGTTCTGACCACGGTTACATAATAGGAGGCCTGCAGGTGAAGTATACCTACAAAGACGTGCTGAAAACACAAACACACTCACTCTGTCAAAGAACTTTTGAATGATTCCTGTGAGTCTGAGTTCTTCATTATCTTATATTGTAGTTAAAGAGTGATAACTATCTACTTAAGATATATTTAAAAAGTTAATGTTTAAAACAAGCTAATCATTAAGCTACAATCTGTCTGCACACTGCCAGGTGAGGACACAACATTAAAGCTTAGTAAAGGTATTTAAAGGTGAGGTTTACCTTTCTCCTCGGGCATTGTCACTCAGCTGATTTCCCAAATGTGATATTTATTTTGTCCTTTAGTGTTAGCGATGAAAACAAAAATCCCAGGTGTCTCTTCAGAATCCTCTGACGGCGTTGCGACACATCCTCTGCACGCTCTGGAGTAATAATAGTTAGGAGCACAGAGTGAGCGCTCTGTCCGTCACTATCTCTGGAATGATCTCTCTCTCGCTCTCTCTCTCTCTCTCTCTTGCTCTCCCTACCTCTCTCTCTCTCTCTGAGTTATTGCAGCTATCTGTTATAAATAGAAGCATGTGCAGCTCAGAGAGAATGACACCTCCTCCTGGTGATCACTGGGCGTGCCCCAGTTCACACCACGCTCAGCTTTGACAGCTCGGTGATAAACAAACAGGGGTTCATTCAGTATGGCTAAAAGCTGTCACTCAACTGTACCTTTTTTAAGCACTAGGGGGTGTTGAAGTGTGGTCAGCCTAAAAGTGTTTCACCAAACTCCACCAACCAAATTCCAAAATGAAGTGTGAGAGGTCTGGCAACTGGAGGTTATCCAAAAGTTTGGTTATCCCCATGAAGAAAAAGAAGGCTGTAAGAATAGCGCAAACTAGTGTTGTAGTCAATACCACAAACCAAGACTAAGACATACCCCTAGACCAGAGTGCTCCAAGACCGAGACAAGACCAAGACCTTTAGGGGTTGAGACCGATTGGAGACCAAGACCAAAAATATCACTGAAAAACCATCATCATGTGTGGGTTGGGGCCGTAACCAGGGGAAACAAATCAAATTATGAATGAATTGAAGTTATTTTTTCTTTTAGAAAGCGGCGTTTTCATTCTAATCACAGTAATGACATGAAAATAGCCGATCAGTGGTGGTCTTTACCAGTCTTGATTTAAGATCCGGAGTCCGTCTAGCCTGTGACCGAGACAAGATCGAGAAAAAATGCTTTCGATTCCGAGACTGAGACCTTCAAAAATATATTGTTCTTCTTGGATGTTACACTTGTATCTGAAGTGCATTTGTGTCCAGTTCTACAGCAGCTTGTCCAGATATCTATTTATGTCCAAGGTGAGTTCATATCGAACTGTTCCACGTGTTCGTCGGTATTTGGAGACTGGCTTTAACTCTCATCATCGATCTGAGCGGATAACTAATCAATGTCCAGGGAGCAGCCTCACTTAGCTGCAGGGATTTATCACCATCTGTAATCAGCCGGCTCTATACTCACAGAGGTGAGGACAGAGTGGACACACTGTGCTGGACAGGGTCGGACGATAACGTCGACATATCATGAAATGAACCAAGAAGTCTACATCACAAATCATTCACTTTTTTATCTTTATGAAAACCTGAAGACCTCCCACACAGTTTGTGTCCATTTCACTCAAAATAAAATCTTGCTTTACCAGCCTTCTTTTGGTTTGCAACACGGAGCCTGGGTCTGTATCTGAACTGTGACTGTCAGTAATCCCATTACTGTCGTACTTATCTTACTCCATTACCTAACTTATTACACCTCCGTTTACGCTTTTTTATTGTAATGTTGGAGCAAGAATTTCCTTTGTGATAAATAAAGTTTGATCTTATCTTATTCTTACTTATCTTCTGCCTCTATCTTTTGTGTCAACATATTTTCTGATAAGTGATGATGTCATTACGTAACCAAATGCATGGTGTAAAACGAGGTGACAAGTCGCGGACGTTACAGGAAAACCTGATCTTGCTGCCTGAGATTGTTGTAATTCCTGTTTAAGTCTAAAAAGGCTAACTGGATGTCCAATTTGTTTGTCAAATTGTCTGTGATTTGAGTTTGTGATGTTCTGCAGACTGTCCTGTAACTGTAAATTTGTTTGATGTTTCTTGTTAGTTCCTGAGGACTACGGATGATATGTAGCTTTTGTGCTAATTCTGACATATTTACATGGATATTATTTGCTGATATGTTGATCAAAGTGCACTGTCCCAATTCAATAAAAAAAATTGAAATAAAGATAAATCTCAGGGATTTGACTACTCAAGTACTTTGACCACTACTTGAAAAACCTAGTAATGACGTCACAATAAGCGATAAGCTTTGAACAATATATACACAATTAACCTCCAATTCAAGCCCTGTATTTCTGTATCAGATGAAACCTTCAAAACACATTTGCCCACTGCTTAAAAAACTGACAATATCACAAAAGTTAGCGTTAAAAAACTCCTGGAGAGTTGGTTAATATTTTTACATTTTAAGAAACGATTAGCAAGTAAAATGTTCGGCAGCACTTTGAGTCCAATAAAGTGTATCGTATCGTAAAATTTGCTGATAAGACAATTTCATTAATGTGATATGTACACAACACAATTAGTAAATCACTAACGCATGCACCAACATTTTATTGCAGACTTCTATTAGTTATAAGCCCCTTTTTGACCGCAGGAACTTTACCCTGGACTATAGACCTTTTGAGCAACTGTATGCATTTCAACCGCAGGAACCAGGGTTTAAATTTAGTTCTGGGGTAAAAGATCTACCCCTAAAAAAGGCCCTCCAAGGGGGGAGGGGGGTAGTACTTTCTAAAGGGTCCCGGGACCTTGGTGGGCAGGGCCTGCAGCCCCTGCAGTGCTGAATGTCTCTGATTGGTCAGGAACTTACAGGGTTTTAGATCACCCACCTGGACAGGCAGCGGTGGAAATGCTGACAACTATGGGCCAGAAAGAGAAAAGAGAAGTCCCTGGAACTTAAAGTTCAGAGGGACCTTTGGCCAAAAAGAGGATATTGAGATGTTTATGGATGAACTCTGAACTTCTGGTTTAAGTTAATACATTTATAATGTCATGGTTTTTATACTAGATATATAATGTGGCATGACCTGACTAACCAATCAGCAGCTGTGCGTTTCATGCAAGTTTCTCAACTCTCACAACATTTCCACGGCCAAAGCATACCGCACGTGGTGGCGTGATGTGACTGAGCGCGGTATGTACTTTGTAGACAAACAATGAGGTCATTCTTCATTTAGTCAGCGTAGGGTCACCTTAGGGTAATGATAATGATGTTGGAACTTCTCCATGTTCTGGGCCTCAGTAGAAACAATGACCACTTCCAGCACGTAGAAGTGAGCAGGCAGATTCATTAGGCGAAGAGCCAAGCATTCAGAGCATGGCTGAACCAGGTGACCCAAAGGGGGGGGGGGGGGAGGATGCTCCGCATTAAATGATCAAATTAGTGTAGGCAATTTTATGCAATGGCATGTGTGGTGTCAAATGGATGATTATGAGCCTATACGTCAGGTCAAAGTTAGAGTTTATCAAGTAATAGAAACATAGAATGAATGGACAGATGTGAGACCAGTTATGGTCCTGAATGCTCTGGATTTGTTTGGACCAGAGAAGGTAGGCAGTTTTAAGGCCCCCCCCCACGGCCGGGGGGAGACAGCTATCTAAAATGTTTTGAATTTGGACTGCAGTACCCACTTTAAACATTAGGTGTCACAGTTACACATTGCTCCTTTAAAAGTATTTTCAAGTTCTCTATTTCTGTCGGTAGTCCCTGAAATACAAACCGAGTTGCATAAGAAAATTGGCCAAAACATATCAGCTTTTTGAGGTTTTCGGATTGGCCTGAAAACAAAGGATGTCACTTGAACCCTGCTGGATAGGGGACAGGCACAGCATGAGCTGCAGTGAGAGGTGAATGTTATCTTCTCTGCCAGGCCAGACCAGAAGGAGCCCAGAGCGGGGGTTATTAAAAAACGACCAAAAATAACAGGACAGGATGTTTCAGAGGAGTGTATGGAGGCTGAGCGGATTGTCAGCGAGCACAAACACATTCAGAAGGGACTGAGCGGCGAGCATGGCCTCATTTCATCTCTGACACCGTCCCCCCCTTCTTTCTTACCAACCCTTAGTTTCCTTTTCTCCCCCTGTTGTCCAAAGCTGTGACTGATCATCGCTGGAACACAAACCAAAGGAAGTGCTCAGTAAATGGTAGGAAGCTTCAGGGGGAACAGAGTGCATGGTGGAAGACGCTGCCATGTGACTCAGCAGCAGGCACCACTCGAGTGTGTTTGTGTGTGTTAGGAAAAGAATAAAACACAAGATCTGCATTGCAAATCATCCAACACCAGAGCTGCCAAGAAGCATCCACAACAGAGCCAAACGTGAGGCCAAAGAAGGACACCAAAAAAAGAGTCCACTGAAGATTGACCAGCTGCTTTCATGACATTTAGGAAGATCAAAATGCCAAATATGATCTGACTTGACTTTTTGGAACATTTGAATAAATGCCCTTTGTCTCTTCTGAAAACAATGACTCAGCTGCTTTTCCCCGCCAACTGCCATCATTGACAATCTTGGCAACAACATGGCAAAGAAAACTTTCTACAATGATCCCGAGAGGAGAATGTCTTGCATGGCACTGAAATGAGAGTTTAAAAAGCCACATTGTCTGCCAGAGAACAAACAAAAAACACTGCAAAGAAGACGGCTTACAGCTCAGCTTGTGGCGTCTTTTCCGGCTTTGGCAAAGCAAGTCACAAAGAGCCAGGGAGACGGATATCTGCATGAGCTTAAATGAGCAATGTAACATCTTCAAGGTTGCAGAATGAATGTGATTCCCTCACTATTCTTCTTTACCTTCCTCCTTCCTGCGTTGCAAAGTAGAGGCTTGTGCTGATTTGTGCACACCACAGGATTTTGTTGTCAGCTCAATCCGTCATCCTGCACACACTTTGTTCACTTCCTAGAGAGGGACGAGGAGGGAGGGAAAGAGAGAGAGCATGCATTTCCTCCAATCAGGTGCTTCTGTGATTTATTATCTTGATGCAGCATCTTGACCTTTCTCCCATATTTCTATTTAGTCCAGAAATCGAGACCAACAACCAGTCGGTTTTCAACACTTTCCAGTAGCATCATCCCGTCTTGATTTGAATCAAAGTCAAACTTTGTATTTTAGTTTCAGATTCAATTTGAACGATCACTTTTTCAGAAAGTATTCATTTTTGAGCGGTGCACATACTGTGAGATATAAAAGAATGTCTGAATCATGTGAGGTGTTTTAAAATAGAAGTGAATCAGACTTCTGTTCTGATTAGGAGTAGGTTATGTTGTCTATTAAAGCCCACGTTCTCTGTGACTCAGAAATGGTCTCTGTGCTAAAATATGCTGTTTCCTCTGTATTTCCTAAAAGCAGCAGCCCTCTGGACTGCAATACAGGTGGAATTGTTTTATAAAGTTGGTCTTTTTCTGCAAGCTGAGCCATGGGGGAGG